CTCAGTGGCGCGCGTACGGATTGTACCATAAGGTTTTTCGAAGAAAATTGTGGTACGCCACTGGTAAAAACATCTTTTTAATATTTGTTTATGATCTACTTTTTATTTTAAACAAAATTACCCCCTTGTGTTTTATTTCTAGCTCTTGTAATTTTTCCGTAAATAAAAATTTTGTAAATACCATTTTATCCCACTGCTGACAGAGGAATATAAAAATAATAAAAGCATTAAGTAGTACGCATTGACTCAGCCACCGAACATGGTCAAATAGGCATTGAAAAAAGATTTTTGCATTGAAAATATTAAAAAACTAAATTTTTTGAAATTTTTTAACACCCTGTAGCTTGGAAAAGAAAACCCGTAGAGCATAATTTTATATGACAAATATTTATTTTTTAAAATAAAAAATCCACTGTTTAATTTATTCCCAACCTTTATGTTACACCCTCTATATGTGTGATGTTCACATAAGGCTGAGCTCAGAGACATATTGCGATACTTGAATGGGCACTTTACTTCTATAATTGCATTATCTCCAACTAAGCCATCAGGTGAAGCACCCAAAAATCTGCATATATCCATCCACAAACCTGTTGGTACCACTTGAAGACCCATGGCTAAGGTAAAAGCGTCAAGCCCTAATTCTTCGTGCTGCAGCCCCCACTGGACTGCTTGTACTCCAGTCACATCGTAATCACCCAGAAGATTCTTGAATAGTGAAGGAGGATATCGGTCCCTCTTACAGGCAGCCAAAACTTCCCCGAAGTGGATGGCTGTTAAACGGTACTTGCGAGCCACAAGCCAATTGGGATTCTTTGATTGCCCAATTGTTGACTGTGTAATAGAATTTCTGACCTCTTTAGTAATGACGAGTCTATTACATACAAACAGCGCTTTGTCTTCTGCTTTAATAAAGTCAACTGAATAAATTATGCAGTCAATTTCTGGCATGATGAAAGCTTCCGGTTGAGGTTCGGGTTGTAGCAGCCAAGAAAAGCCTACAATGTTTCCATACAGATTGACTTGGAGATTATTTCTTCTGCAGTTGCCACTCGTTTGACAGCACAAAAGTCAGCTTTCTTTGGAGGAAAGATGTCCTTCAAGGCCTTAACGTCTAACGTCCTCCGGCCCGCTTTGGAATGTTCCACTGACATGCCTTATCGGTAAAGCTTACATTATGGTATGCATGTATACATAAAGCTGCCATGTGGTGGCAAATCACTTGTCCCCTTGGACACTGGCAAGTGGCATCCACTATCCCTCCATCCAAATCGATGCAAATCTAGAAGATAACCTTATAAATATTGAATTTTTCAACTACAATGAACTACAATTTACCTCCACATTATAACTTTTATTTTTCATGCTAGCCATAACCTTTCCTGTTAGCACAGCTGGCTTGAAATCGCTATCAAACCGCACTTCGACGACGTGGCCACTAGCATATGCATTCTCACCTCGTTCAAGTTGCTTAGGGTGATCGATGCAAAAATTATGGATCATCGTCATCGAAACCACGTGTTTGGATCCCATTATATCAAAATCTAATAAAAAACAAAAAATAATTCAGATAATTGGAATAATTTATTTTAATAATTATAAAGGACACGCATGCAAAAGCTAGGTTATGTCAAATTTAGATAGTATTAATATTTCAGTTATTACTACCCATTTGTCTTGCATGAATGCATTTATAAGCTAAATTAACTACACTCTTACCAAT